TGTGCCAGGTGGTTGCTGTTTTATGTTCGTTTGGGTGGAATGCTGAAAGTTCAAGCTGTCTTAACCCACCTATTCAGACATGGAAACCACCTGCTACGATAACCATATCTGAACGTCTGGCTTTCAGTAGGTGGCTAGACAGTTTTCGGGGAAACGTGCTTCACTTAAGCCGAGCTGCAGTCAGTGCATAGACAGAGACTAGAGAGGAACAACCGTGAGTTTCACTGTACCACTTAGTCAAACAACGCACAGACAAGTGTGAATTGAAATATCCAGTGGGACAGTGCACTTTTATACTTACGGGTAGTTGCTATACCTACACCTGTACGATCATGAAAGTTTGTCAACGATTCCCAAAATATCAGAGAGTACATTTTGAAGACTCACTGCGTTGGTCAGGTGCGATTGAGTGGATTTCACATAGGTCTTGTATGCGTATCTCAAAAACAACACATGTCGATATCTCAAGACTGCCAGTCAAGTTTGTTGTCCGGTTTGATGGAGGGAGGGGGTGCAGACATTAAAAGCTTTATTTCGCAGTTTGGAATGTAGCTTTCGGAAACCAGGGGTACTATTTCTTGAGTTGTTATCAAGGACTGCGTAGTTGAAAGAAATTAAAGATCACGTAGGAATATTTAATCGGAAGAAGTGAGGAATGATTAGAAGGTGAAGACTTGTAAAGTCGTTACTGATCTAAGGAACTTGAGTGTTGGCAAAATTGTGGAGAGTTGCTTCTTCATGATAAGGTTATTGTAATGGTAATAATGTTATGTAGCAGTAGAATCAAAGGTACATGCACTTTAGGCTGGTCAGAACATGACCTTTTAAGATGTTTTAGTTCTAAATGTTATTAATTCCAGCCGCCAAAATTATATCACCAGATGACCGTAGGGTAAAGGAAAATGTCCTATTTTTAAGGCCAACCTTTTCCATTTTTACTTTCTTACAGGGAAAGCAGTATCAGCATGTAACGCTGGTCGTACCTGGTCTAGCCATCAGTGTAACTTTTCCGTCGTACCTACATCTTAATCTATACATTTACACTATGACGATGACTTCTCTATGTTTTAAGACTATCCAACCAGCATTTCTGATATGGTAGCATATCAACAACACAATTTTCCAACCATTATTGCTCTCCAAGTCATTGGGATATACGAGCCTGCAGGCATATTTGGATAACAGCTGTTGGTCTAGGATAGCAGGGGTTGGATTGTTTATAATTATATGCAGCTTTACAAATAATGTTAGGAATAGAACAGGTGAGAGACTCAGAAGACCGAGGCATAATTCACCAATCGTTGCTGCCCGATACGGCATTTTGGGGCAGTTTGGATCACGTGACTTTTGGTGAACACGGTTATCATCTGCATCTGTGGAGTCTGCCTGTTGAACACTAAACGTTCGATCATTTTTATGCTTTATAATCCCACTGTTTGTAATCAGTACTCAAATTGACGGGCATAGGTTTGTTATGGTCAGTAAGTTCTCCACCAAAGGTATAGTTTTTTTGGGACGTATTCTGCCGAGTGACTGACACTGTATGCGTGCCGTTTCATTTTTCAGCTTTTTTTTTGCAGCTTTTTAACTTCATAACTACCCTGATTTTGATTGCAAGGGTAAATTAATTGGTTACATCATAATGTGATGTTCTGGAATAATTAGAATTCGTGTTAAATCAACGCCGTATATGTCACAGTAGTGCATCGTACTATCAGAGTAATTCATTCGTAATGTAGGGCGAATTTTCAAATCGTGGAAATTCTGATTCACTATTCTTATTTTCTACATAAGAGGGATAAGAGCGTGACGTTCTTATGATACTGATATTGATAATTAACTGGATAGCGTTCACAGGGATGTTTAGCCATTAATTGTTAGCTCTAAGTGAAAAAAATGCTAAAAATTGTTTTTGATGGCTTGGGGTTCGTATAATGATCTGTTGTAGCGTTCCTAGGATTGAATTATCTCTTAGAACTGGGGACTCCTTCTGTGTCTATATTACACATATTTGTCTATCTCATCGATAAGTGATCTGTGAAGTATGGCCTAGCTTAGTGACAATGTAAAGTGTTTACGTCAAACACTCAGCAGAGCTCTCAGGAAAAAATAGCTCAAAGCCAGCTGAAGTGTTTTCCGAATGGATGCCACCATTGCTGTAATCATCTCCCTGGCTTGGACATGTATTGCGTATGTTGATCCACCACCTACCTCGGCGTGCTAAGCTAGGGGAAGCTGAGTTAAGTTGTAAGACGGTTCAGGGTAGCTAGACCAAGGTGTTACACTAGTCGATAAAGTCTCTAACTGTTAGTTTGAGCCGTATGGGGAGACACAGACTGCCTAGCTGGGGTACACGTGACGACAGGAATCAGTAGTTGGGGACTTTTGGTTAAAATTGGTGACGATGACGCAGATGTAGTCACTCATTGACATCTTTTAAAGCTCGAATATTTGTACTAACCTCTATCTTCAGATTATTTATTCTCTCACACAACTTCGTCTACTTGGTTACGATTCTTCTTCTATCCACTTGTTCTTTGTATACTACTGTGAATTGTGGCAACTTGAGGTGATGCACTTATGTGCGAGGTTCTGCGTTGATTTTGTCTATCTGTCTCCCTTGCAAGAGAATCTTAAGACCATCTTTTTTCACTAAAGCCTCAGTAACCGCTGACTTTTAACTCCCCTCTCCTAGACTAGTCTAGATGGTTATCTATTGCTGCCTATCACCGTCGTTTTTCCACATTTCTAACTTTCGCTACTCCTGATCATTACTTCAGGTGTTTTTCATTCTGTATTAGACTACTTCTCCTCATCATTTCGCCGGGAGCCTGAAGGACTGAGTTACTGTAAATCCATTTATTCGCACGAAGCTGTTTAAATTCATTGACTCTCAAACTTTTTTCTGAGAGTCAGTTTGAATCTTTTTCGCCGTTTATATAGTAGGCCAGAGACTGTACCAGGCTTCTTCAGGCTGAATAATGCTGCCTTCTTGTAATAGTTGCCTAAAACGCTCCCTTTTATGATCAACTATGGCGTCATTATTGATTTGGACTTATAACGAGCGTTCTATTGGAGTCTGTTTGCATCTACCTCGGTGCAAACGGGTGTCTGGTCTGAATAACACAGGGTCGCTATCCAGGCAAGTATTACAGAAAATGGAAGTCTTCTAACGACCTTTTTCAGCTACCACTGATAAGCATATGTCCTGTATGTGTCCACCAATGTGTTGTGTTAGAGGGGCACCACACAGATAATGTTTCCTTTGATATCTGGGATTGGTTCGGATTAAAAATAAGGGGTTGTCATTGCACAGTTGTAGCGGATGATCAACACTTTCCGTCCTTTTTTCTTGGATCCCGAAAGTACCACTTTAGTTTGGCGTGCTTTTTAAAGGTCTACCATATTGGGAACTGGAATCGATGTCATGGTTTGTAGTACTAGATGGAATTAAAAATGATGTAGAAGCAGTGGCCGAGACGTATGAAAAATATTTAGAAGGAAAATCAAAAGCTTGGTGGTGTTGATAAGAAACTTAAGTGCTGACAGAGGTATGAAGTAAGTTTTTACTTCTTCACTGCTCATATCATGAAAGGTTACTATTTCTTAAAGTACTTAAAGAGGACATTGGTTTGTAAGGGTAGGTTTACTTGCTTAGATTTGTAGCCTCAGAGTGCAATGACATCTGCTTGATCTTGGCCACAGTTCCTTTGTTTAAGTGTTTCTGATTTGGACCTAGTTAAGTTAGTACCTGAAAAATTCTCTTGCTGCTAACGCCGGAAGACTTCAAGACAGGAATGAGTGTGCCGCTTTTTCGACCGACCTTTTGTATCTTATTTCTGATAAAGAGTGAGCAGTATCAGCATCATATATACTTGTTGTCCTCTGTAAACTTCATGCTGCCATCAATTTCATTCAGACAGTGTCATGATTTCTCCCTTGCACCCTCACTATGCTGTCAAGTAACTGCTTTAAGACTTACCTTCATCTAGAAAACCTTTCTACCTACATATCAGGTGATATGAATATAGATAATAAATTGTTTGAAGCGTTATTCAGTAAATAATACAGTTTCACTGCTATAAATCTAATAAACAGAATAAATGTAATCACAATCTGCCACAGTGCCAATGTTTTACGTCTATTATGAACCTTTCTGTCCTAGTAAGACCTCATGGAGCTATTGGCCTCACGAACATAATTCTCAGGGTCATTGTGATATGCAAGCCTGATCAAAAAGTTACGGTAGTAACTTTTGGTTTGGAAAAACCTGTTTTATTCAATCGTGAAATTATTCTTCAGTAATTGCTCTTGTGATTTTCTATAATGAGACTCAGATAAAGCTTGTTTTCCTGGCATCTGAAGCGGCAGTTGTGATTCTTTTGCTAGGAGTCCCATACTTTTAAAAATTCTTGTTTTCTAACATCTATCCCTCACTTTAATCGAATGTGTGATATATTTTGTATTTTTCTAATCAGATGACTTGGTTCCTGTCAAAATGTTTAGCTTGTTGCATGTACGAAACACTACATCATACTATAAATCTATTTTCATGACCAGATTCTTTTCAACACATGTTATGTATGTGCATTACAGAAACAAAAACGTGATTGATACGGATTTCATGGTATTAAGAGTACTATTATGGTAATATTCAAAGTGTTCGATATCACACCTACTAGTTTGTTCATCAGTACGAATTATATTATTCAATTGAACATAAATTTGATTATTTCGATCAGTTCGTTCCATATTATTACTTAATTGCAGTCAAACTAATTGTATATTTCCGTCTGGCCTACAAAACAAACTGTTTATGTATATGGTAATTTAACCTGGTTATTGTTTTGTTGGAATAACATATAGGTCGATATCTGGAATATATTATTTCATCAATGTGTTTAATTAATTACTGTATAGATCCACTAATTTTTTTGTAATCTTTCTCTGCTAATAACTGTTTACAAACTCAATCTCTATGTCTCTCTCATCTTTTACAGTATTAAAATTCGATGAAATACCTCTTTATGGAGTATTCATACTTAGTTGTGGTTTTGGTATCATCACTGTTCTAATTGTGAAGTTCCTCTGGGTACCTCTCATTCGTCGACGAATTTTGAGTAAGTTGTTTAACTGCAGTTATTGTTCATCAGTATTATCCAAATTTACAGCTTTACTCTTCGACCAATGAAATCTACAAATGGTAAAAAGCATTTTTAAAATGTAATCACACATATTTTTGAAACTGAAAATATCACTCACTATGATTTCTCGCGTTAGTTCATGAACTATGTTAATCGCTTGACATACCAACAAATTTAAATTTTTATGTCAAAGATGTTGGGCTTGTTAATCTGTAAAACGTAATGAATAGCCTACAAGTTCGCTTGAATCCTATTGTTTTCACTGACCATCCTACTCATGTCACAAAACCATGCAGATAAATTTAAGCTTTCAGTGTTGTCAGAATGCATAATGGACAACTAGTCATTTCTTTTTCTTTTTTTCTAGACTGTACTAAGTGTATTTAATGCTAAGAATCATCACCAATTACATTCGGCTTTCTAGTTCTAGAATTTCTGCAGCATATTTTAGTAATCAGGGATTCTAGAGTTTGTGAATACATCTTTTTATAAACAAGTATATCATAACGTGCACTTACAATCGAATGGGAAATCAAAAGTTGATTAGCAGGTATTCAGCTCTAGTTTATTAGCTGTTCCTAATAACGATATGAATAGACTGTTTAAAAAAAGATATTTCTCACTAACCAAGGTTGTTTATAGGTGTCAATAGTCGTCTTTTACCATGTGGTACAAAAAGAAATCGATATATTTTGAGCAAATGGATATGTCAATATTGTGAGATCGTTTAGAATAAAGAACGAATATAAAGCGAAATAGTTGACATCTATAAAGTCTGATATACATGGTGCAGGTGCATAATGGGATGTTCTCTTAGTGACAAGTTTTTCAGAAAACATATGTCAATTTCTTAGCGTTATAAACATCTTGATGTTTGCCTTAAAGTGCCTATCCGACGATCATATGAGGAAGGGTTAACTTAAACTTTGAAATGCCCGCTAAATCTCACCAACAATAGCATATTTTCTAGTTTAAAATGAAATGAATAATAAAGACTATGTTTAACTACTTTGACATGTGATCGCATAGCGACTATAAACATCTCTAGCAGCATGCAATTAAAAACAACCCCTAGTCATCATATGTCAATGACGGTTTTATCAATACAATTAAATTCTTATAGATAGCCAAAGTCATAGTATGTATTATTGATCTTGACATGTTGAAAGTGATATTCAAGCTTTTGATGTGTAGTTTCATTTAAACTTTTTGTTACTACCCTGTTTCGTCAAGGAATCATTTTAACAGTAAGTCCCGGCCGATACCTGGTACCTTGACGTGTTGGTTGAACTTGCATACCACACTGACCCAACTACCTACACTGGCTGTAGCGCTTGTTCCCTCGAGGTCCTACCATGCCCAAACGGTTTGTTGGATAGTGGTGTAAATTACGATACTATGATGGTGGTCTTAGGATGAAGTCGTACTGCTGCTAGGTAGGTGGGAGATAATAGCAGTTAGGTGTTTCCCTTAAATGATTAGTAGTGTCACGTTGATCTGTGAAGCAGGGGGTCCAGAAATTCCACACTCATCCCTTTCCCACTTTTTTCCAGTGCCAATGGTATGTTTATTCTCCATTCGGTGTTAGAATAATCAAACCTCAGAACAACAGCCTACAAAGGGCTGTGTGTAGCAGGCCTCAAGCAGATATCCCTTGGGCTCTGGGTTTACACTATCCCTTCTTTTTCAGGTACCTCAAGAAGGGCTAGCCTTCCACTGTGTGTGCAGCCGGTAAGTATCATCTGCCCGCACGCTTTCAGTGGTTTATCTTTGTCTTTTACAGTGAGTACAATGAAGCTCGATTTCACACCAATAAACTGATGTTTATGACTTGGCTCCGTAGAAGTTAAGCAGAATATAAGTTATCCCATATCGGATTTGTATCCAGTATCCAGGACTCTATTTTAAAGCTATATATTTAGGGTCTCATCAGTATGGTACGCTACTGTAAACTGCTAGTAATTTGAATTTTCATTATAAACCGTTTTCGGGATTGTTTCTCCAACTAATTATGATACGTCGATGCGCCGACTTCTAGCTTCTTTGCTTGAAATTTCTTAGGTTTACTGTTTTCTACCTGGCAAACTGGTTCTGCTAGTATCTGGGCATCTTGTTTGGAATCACAGTTGAATTGCACGAAGTAGATGAAGTAATTCACGTCCACTAAACAATGAACCATAACATTGCATTCATGACTGGTTGGGTCTGAGTGGGAAATAGCTGAGTAGCTCTCGTTTACATAGCATGACTATGGATTCAAAACACTCGCCACTTAAAATGGCGTAATAAAGTAGCCCAGCTTTTATACCAGGGATGAAAATAAGCGTACAATAAAAAGAAATATTTCTACCGGTTTGTTTTGTTATCACTAACTGATTCTCTCTAGTTTTAATCTAACTCGGTTACCTCTTCTTCATTAATCGCGACTTCTCGTCTTAGACTGAAAGTAATCATTATGTTCCACGAAATTCATATTACCAACATTATTCTGCGTTCCTTTTCTCATTAAGTTAAAGAGCTGGTTTCAACGTTCACTGAATTTACGCATCAATATTTCACTTGACTCGGTGTATAACTATTTGTTTTCAGTTCAGTATGAGAAAATCATAGGCTTTGTTTGTCTCAACTTTTGTACTATTACCTCCTAAAATTCTTTCCTTCTACTTTTTTTTCCCACTTCAGCACTTAACTTTTCCTTTTGTACTCTGTTGATATGTCGACTTTTCACTGCGTTGTGAAAATGATCCTGGTGAAGTTAAGGATAGTGTGAATGAAAGTCAGTTTTTACGACAAAACGAAAGATAAGAAACTTATGACCTCTCAGTTAATCGTTATACTGTATATTGTTTTCCTTTAATATCTTGGTTGTTTATCAATACTTTTTCTGACTTCAGATGTTCTAGCAGCATTCTTTCCATGCTTAGTGTCAGCTATTTTACTTCGATTATCGCTTTACGTCAATACTCGAGGTCATTTTGACCACCTAATCTCCTTTTGAAGAAAGTCTGAAAGAGTTTTGTAAAGTTAAATTTTATTCGAAACATAACCAAAACTGACGTATAAATTCATGCTACTTATTGGGTAAAAGTAGTATTTCCATCAGATGGTTAAGAAAATTTGCAGAAATTTCTTCTGGCTTTTATCTGCTGCACATTTTAGTGTGCAACATTTAAATGCGTTTTACTTAGCATACCTTTTAACTTTCATATATAGCACACTTCAGATTTCTAGGGGAGTTTTATAATAAAATGATACCAATTAGACAAATGTAGAAAACTAGGGAGCATTAGTTATCTTTTTATTTCTTGCTTAGAGCTTCTTTAGAGTACTGACCAAAAGTATATGCAAGATCCAAACCAGAACCCTCACGTATCTCAAGAAGTGTTTTACCATCCAACTGCTGGGTAAGATACCAATAGTGCCTATTTTCTGTTATTCTTGAGCTCACAATACAGTTGAAAGATCGCCCACTGTGAAACAGAAATATCCGCTGAATCTTCACTTAGTTGAACTCACAGGCCAACGCATTTCATGGAAATTATGTGAATGTCACCTTATAGCCAGTCACTAATAAACAGTTGTTTAGAAGTAGTATTCATCATGGACTGACATAATTTGAGGAACCATTGAAAATCTGGGAGCACTGGACAGCTGTTTCGTCCTAGTATGAGACTCCTCAGCAGTACGCACCCATGACCCGGTTAGGGATCGAACTCAGTCCATGACGAATACTGCTTCTAAATTAAAAATCCCCATTCATCTCAAAAATACATTACTCTATAGTGCTCATTAGTGACTTGCTTCCAGATGGATGTCAGAAAGTTCTAATGAGAAGCCGTGACCTTTGGGGTCAACCAGTCGGGAGTGAAGTGGATGCTGACTGAAGACCTTCGGTGACAGTCGCACTATGTCGTGAATTGACAGAAGTTGGAAATTGTGAATTTCTGAGAATCGACACAGTGGCTGAATGGTTAACGCGTTCGCCGTGAAATCTGAAGGTTCTGAGTTCGATCCCCAGCCGGGTTGTGGGTGCGTACTGCTAAGGAGTCCCATACTATGATGAAACAGCTGTCCAGTGCTCCCAGTTTTCCAATGGTTCCCCAACTGATGTCAGTCCATGGTGAATACTACTTCTGAACCAAAAATCCCCCCATTTATTATTATTATTGAGTTGATTGACTGAAAAGTGAGTTGTCCTCGGGAAAATTTATCATCACAGGTTATTTACGATTAATAATCATTCCTGTTATCAAACCTTTATCTTTTGAGTGAGTGCTTTCATATGTTGGCATATGAAGGAAATTTTATAGAAATAGGAACACTAGATGAATTTTTTGTCTGATTGTTTCCTCGACTTCGTAAGCAGCTAGTTTCTACTGAAGCTTAACAAAATGTCAAAAAGCATCTTGAAGACTATCCTGAATTCATTAATTATTTACATTACATTTACTGTTTAAAGGTACTTATATTAGTAACATCAGTGTTACTAACCATACTCGATAATGCAAACAGTTTGATTCCTTTTTAAAATAGTGTCATTATCTTGTGTGAACCATTTGTGCCCTATTGTCATTCATTAGAACGTTTAAGCATTCTTTTATCTAAAACACAGAATATTCAACCAATAATTAATGATTTGTTTTAGCTGGAGAATCCAGTACACATATTATGAAACGCTGTTTAACGCGTAAGCACCAGAAGAAATCTTCATCTGAAGACAGTAAACACCCATCTCTTGCTGATACTGACCCGTCTGGAAATCCAACTGCAAATCATGAATCGATCAATATGAACACCTATACACCCAGTTCGGATGGAGAACGTGTGGTTGGATTTAAGAAGAATAATAATGAAGGTGTTATCGGACAGTCTAATGATGAACACAATACTAATATTAAAAATGTCAAAGCTAAAACTATACTGTCTGGTAGTGAAGACGCAATTTCAAATGAAGTTCCAAGTCGTAAGTTATCAGTAGAAAACCGTTTGTTGAATCTCATAGTTTTAACACTGAGTTTGCAAAATTGTTACGTTAATGATTGAAAAATTCATTCATACTAGACGTAGGTGTGAAGCTGTGGCTTATTGGTTCAGGGAATTGAATTTCAACCATTGAGTCACGGGTTCGAACATCGCTCCATCTACCGAGGTTTGGGCAACCAGGTAGTATCATTAGTCTTCTCAAAATTGGTGTGGCTCATTATCTACCGCACGAATGTGCACAAAGCTGCTCAGTGCACTTTAAATTTTTTATTCGATGTAGCACCTTCCTTTCTGAATTATAAAAAGTGTTTTTATAACCTCATAGGGAGCTTTAAGAACTTAATTTTGTTAATAAAGGTTTGAAAATTATACTTTGATTTGTATCTTCAAACAATAGTATCATCAAACTATATACTACCTTTAAAAATCACTTAAAATTTTACACTTTTTTGAAGATTTTGGATGTACGAACGCCAATGTGCTTCTGTAAGCCCATTTGAGACGTTTTAGAGATAATTGAGTAACTCTTTGCTTCACCTAGTAAATACGATAAAGTTGAGCTGTTAGAAGTTAGATCGGAAACTAGGTTTGGAGCACAAGTGTTATCTGTTTTATTGTGACTGTAACCGTATGAGGAACTGACAAATCAATGAACAATTACCTCTTAGAAACATTTATTGTAAACTTGAACTCTAAGTGGGCATAGTGGAAATTAGACGTACCTTTTTTAGTCAGAAAAGGTCAGATAATTGATGAGATTGAAGCGCGCACTACGCACTGAAGGTTATCACTGTATTTCTCACCTGCATGGGTATAAATCTTTGTTGCATATATTAAACGTTTTTGAATAAATCATCATTGATGTGACGCTATAAAATCTCTTTGGTTCATAGAATGCCACTCTGATGACGACCTTCGTAATGTTTTTCTCTCAGTGGTAGTAGTCTCCAGTCGGTGATGCTAAATACCATGTATGGAAATCAATCCCAATTTCTGATATACACCCAATTTTTTTCCACAAGATTTTGAAAATCTTACTAACATCTACCTTACCTAACATAGCGTTGTTCTACTTCATTTATATATTTCCGCAAACTCATTCTTTGTTGATTAACACCATACCGTATACGCTTAAATTTATCTTATGCTTCTCTTACTCTTTATAAGGTAATGTATTCTACAGGTTACTTCACCAGTCTCGAATCTTTTACATTTCTGTACAGTGATAGTAACGTAACCTAATTTGTTTTAAGTAAGTAATCAGAGGCTCACTACATAAAATGAAAAGTAATAACCGATTCTGTTTTAGAACATATAGAGAATAAAGTATGAAGTTAAGAAATTTCTCTTACTTGCTTAGTTTCACTTTAATGATTAACGAAGTTCAATGACTGCATACTGTCAGCATCTTTCTTCAATGCACAGTATGAGCGTAATGTGTTCATTATCGAACAGCTCAATAACCATAAATTATGATCATCAATAGCCATCGTTTATGTCTTTTAGAGAAATCTTAAAAGATTTCTCACCTTTTCTACAGTCTTTCTAAACGATATATGACGTAAGATTGACACATTCCTAGGGTTCATCTTTTCAGACAATTTCGAATAAACTATAGTTCTCGGATGGCTATCGAATACACTATGGTCCTTCAGAAGTAGTCATAAGGGATAAAATTCTAACCCTTCCCCTTTTAAATATTGCCGAATATTTGGTAGTCTAACAGCAGAATATGATTAACCTGTACGTTATTTTTATGACCTAGTATCAATATTTATAAACTGGTTTTACATATTCAAATCGCTTCTTTGCTAAAAATGGAGTTTTTTCATTTAGGTCAGTCTGATTATCCCGATGCTAAGAGAAACGATAGTACGGCCTTAAGACCCTCTCTCTCTGAGACATAAACATTGTTGAATGGTAGTCAGTCATAAATCGTTGTGGACTTCGTATAAATGAATGCCAAATATCACAATATGTTCAGTAGTTAGTTTTGTGTACCGATGAGCTTCTTTGGAAATGCAAATCAGAAGGGAAAAAATTGTCTTATAAAAAAATATAGGTAAGAGAAATTGATTATCCACCATGCAACAGGTTGGATAACACAAGTTCTTGATGATCAGGATGCGGTTTGCTACTGAAAATGAAACTGAATTAGCCTACAGATGCTCATAACATTGCTTTCTGAAAACAGGTGAGGCCGCTTTTATGAAGTTAGTGGAATGATGCATATCAGTGTAGAATACTGAAAGTCAATGAACAGAATTCATATGAAAACTATTCGAAAGTTGAAAAATATGAAATAAATGTATGAATCATTTCAGAGGTGAAAGGGTCAACTAAGACCCAGTAGTCTGTTCTGTTGAAAATAATACGGAAAAGAATTTTAGTTCTGAACTCTGTTAGATAAATAAATAAACAGTGTGTTATCAATCAAAAACTAATACTTCCTTGTCTACATAACTAGTATCCCACCGATTATGAATTCATCGTTAGTCAATTAATCAATCAAATGCTGCTTGTATCAATCACTTTATATGGTATAAAATGATGCATAACCTTATGCGAAAATGATACCCTACGGAATCCAGTATAACACATTCATGAAACTGATGCCCTGAATACAAATTTGAATCACAAGTTTAGGTAAATGTATGTGTCACATGATACTGATTATATACAGATCTTTTGTCATTCAATTTCACTTTCATTTTCCTCATACACCAGTTAGTAGCAAATGTAACTGCTTACCATTTCCATGTGTCGGTAGAAGATTATACAAACATTATCCCAGTTATCTGAGCTAAACATTGATGTGGGTTGGGTTTAACTGAACAGAAATTTTGAAATTGTACTGCGTAGACTTACTTTATCAGTTCTTAATTAGGGAAATTATTTTGAGATCCTGATAGTCTGGTTTCTGTTGCAAATGTTTGTAGTTCAGTGAGCGAATGTTCAGAAGAACTCAATCTGAACTAACTGCTTTTTGACTGAACATTTATCCTTATGAAAGCTAAGTAGTGAAAACTCGTTCATCTTTCAAAACTCATAACTTGAACTGGTTGTTTGCTAACCAGACTAAAGTTGTTTAGATACCGTAAAAGCATTTCGTTGTTTCGAAAATGATTAATTTCAACTGATTAGCAAAACTGGCATCTAACCATTTGCTCATCATAAAACTTTAGTAGAAACTGGTTTATCATACGCATAATGATTGTTATCTTCAGCATCGATGAGCATTGTGGCTATAACCAGTGGACGCATTTGGGTCTTTAACTTAGGTTGTCAGATGCATCCATTATTTAATTTGCAGAGACCATACCTGATATCAACGGTAGCTACTGCTGAATCTCAATGAGTGTATTTACCATGATTGTCTTTTCGATTTACGTAGACTGTGGAGCTTGTTTCTTCATGTTGTAGTATGTCGAAAAGGTCAGCTGGGAAATTTTCAGACTAAAATCAGTTCATGCAGTCATGTAGAAAACCCACAACAGTTTTCTATCCGAATATGGCGTCAACTTGTCAAGTGTACAGAAGTTTCACACAAGAAAGCGTTGCATGCAGTCATAACTGACGCTTTGAATGACGCTACATCCTTACTGTGTTTATCCAGGACATTAAGACCAATGATTACTTCAAGCACTTAGGCTTAGGAAATTGGAAAGCGTCAGCTGCTCACAAATTTCCAGCGGCATTTAATTTTTTTATTTTTGTTACCATTTTTGCGATCATCATCTATTTATACTTGAGGTGACTTTGAAGTCAGCTGTAAACCACTTTCGACGTCTTCTACTATTTTAATCCTTGGTAACAATTTTCATGCATCAAATCCCACCATCAACTAAACAAAACCATGGTGCGAACTTCAAACCAAAGTGATCACTGTGAAGACCATACATCAATTGAATTAGAAACATTCTTTGGTTATGAATTCCAACTCATATTGGTATACTGTCCTTCTTCGAAATACACACAAACCCGATCATAGCACATTTATTAATGTCAGAACATGAGATTATTTTAAATATTCTGAACAATTTACACCAAGGGACTTTCAGTGATTATATCTTTGGGCCATATTTTCATGTAGAGCACCAGGGTTTAAAATGCCTGAATTTATAATCAGTTGACGTCTAAGTGGAGCTTGAGGATAACTTACGTTGGAATTTAATGTGATTCTAGCGTAGTTGCGGGAGTACTGAGTAAAAAGACGATCGACCGGTTTCTGAAATGCAAAAAAGATAGGTGACACTTGGCACTAACCAAGGATATGTTAACCGATAGGTTGTAAAACAGATACAGACACACAAAGCACAAGAGAACCTCACCTAGAAGTGCATCGGTTCAAGTTATCTTACTTTATAGCAGCATCCAAATAGCAAGTGGATATAAAATAAGTTGATAAAATAGATAATAGTTTATCGGAGGAAAGCGAAAAAGTCTAGTGAAACATTCAGACTTTCCACAATATCTAGGAGTGAATAAATTTGTGCCACTGTTACTCATTTTCACTGATTTCATCAAGAATCTCCGAAAATTGATTCTTGCCATACAAAGATACCGAATCAGGTAGCCGACACCCACTTACACAGTTCAGATCGACAGTCAAAGATTTCGTGGACTGTCACCACATCTTTATCTGATCATCCTTGACCTTATTTCATTTCAGTCCTACTTCAACTGACTTTGTCAAACTTGACACCAAACATGCACAAACTGTATCCAAGTTGCCTCAGTCCTTGGAAGTTCAGAACCTAACCGATTGAGTTGTTTTCTTTACCTAGTACTCTCCACCTAAACTTGACATCACTAATTTTGAGCTTCCATAACACGGCACTGCTTTGAAGTCGCCTGTGATCAGAAAACTGTGATGTCTGTCCCACAACCGTATAAAATGGCACTGTGGATAGGAATGAAGTACACTTTTCTTTCGACGAATAGTCAAAAATCTCGCCATTGTCAGAGATGACGTAATTT